TGGCACAGCCTGTCACCCCATACAGTTCTGCCCCTTGCCTGTGAACTGTTTCTGTTTTTGTTACCTGCTTCCTTGTACCTGCCTTGTCAAAGATGCCACTTTATTGGCTCCTTCGCAGGCAGTCTTCAGCACTGAATTAACCTGGACCAAGTGGCACCAGTGTTGGCTTTGGGTGATGGTGTAGGTGAATGGGCAATGTGTCAAGGTTCTGTAATTGGGGCCATTGTTCTTCTCCCAAAGTCTAGACCAGTTTACCATGTCTTCTATGAAGCCTGACTTTTCGATTATTGATGTATATGGATTTATTATTATTCTCAGAGAGCAGGAATCATGTTTTGTTAAACTTTATGGCCAGCTCATTGTTGTCTACAAAACAAATGTTCAATAAATACATAAGTGAATTCATATATGGATGTGTTGTATTATGCCTTTTTTTAAAGGTGTTACTAGAACTAAGTATATATCAGAAGACTCTAGATTCTCTCTCTTATGTAATAAGTGCTTAGGAAATATTTAACTATATTGATTTAGTTGACCAGTGTTTATCAAGCATATGTTGTTGTTCAGTGTCTAGTCGGTTCCAACTCATAGCGACCGTATGCACAACAGAACGGAACAGTGCCCAATCCTGCACCATCTTCATAATTGTAGCTCTTACCTATTGCTGCTGCCACTGGGCCAATCCATCCCAGTGGGGGGGTCTTCATCTTTTTCAGTGACCCTCCACTTTACCAAGCATTATGTCTTTCTACAAGTACTGGTCCCTCCTGATACATGACCGAAGTATGAGAGATGAAGTTTCGTAATTCTGGCTTGTAAACCACATTCTGTCTGTATTTTTTCCAACACAGATTTGTTTCTTCTTCTAGCAGTCCGTGGTACTTTCAACATTCTTCTCTAACTCCATAACTCAAATGCATCAATTCTTTTTTTGTCTTCCTTATTCATGGTCTAGGAGCTCTGGTAGCGTAGTGGTTACGAATCAGGCTGCGAACCTTAAGGTCAGCGGTTCAAAACTACCAGCCGCTCTGCGGGAGAAAGATGACGCTTTCTACTCCCGTAAAGATTTACACCCTCGGAAACCCTGTACAGGGTCGCTATGGGTCGGAACCGACTCGATGGCACTTAACAACAACAACATTCATGGTCTAACTTTCACATGCATATGAGGCTATTAAATACCATGGTTTGGGTCTTGCACACCTAAGTCCTCAAATTGATATCTTTGATCTTGAACACCTGAAAGACGTTTTGTATAGCAGATTTGCCTAATGCAATACATCATTTGATTCCTTACTGCTTCCATGAGTATTAACAGTGGATCCAAGCAAAATGGAGTCTTTGACAACTTCAGTCTTTTTCCCATTTATCATGATGTTGTTTATTGGTTCAGTGGTGAGGAATTTTGCTTTCTTTATATGGAGGTGCAAACCATACTGAAGATTGTAAGTATTTTAGTAAATATTTTAAATCCTCTTCACTTCCAGCAAGTAAGGTTGTATCATCTGCATATTGCAGATTGTTAATGGAGTTGTGGTGTGGCGGTGTGGGTTAATGTGCTGGACTACAAAATCGGTTTGAACCACAGGGTCAACTATTCAAGCTTCACCAGCTGTTCCTCAGAAACCCTATACAGGAACGCTATGGGTCAGAACCAACTCAACAGCATTTAACAACAACAACAGCAGCAGCAATGAGTCTTCCTCTTATCCTGATGCCACATTCTTCTTCATCTAATCCAGCTTCTTTGCTCAGCATATAGATTGAATAAGTATAGTGAAAGAATACAACCTTGGTGTATGTCTTTCTTGATTTTAAACCATTCGGTGCCCCTTTGTTCTGAAAGACTGCCTCTTGGTTTGCATACTCATTCCTTATGAGCACAATTAAGTGTTCTGGAATACCCATTCCTCACAATATTATCCAGATCTTGTCATGATGCATACATTTGAAAGCCTCTGCATAGTCAATAACACACAGGTAAACATATTCCCCGTATTCTCTGCTTTCAGCCAAGATTCATTTAAATGAATCTGGCTTGATCCTCTGTACAATGTACTATTGTAGCCATGTTTTAATTATCTTGAGTAAATTTTATTTGTAAGTGATATCAATGATACTGTCTGGTAATTTCTGCATTCCATTGGGTAATCTCTCTTTGCAATGGGCATGGACATGGATATTTTCCAGGCAAGTATTTGTCTTCCAAATTTCTTAGATGAGTGAGTGCCTCCAGTGTCCATCAGTTTGTTGAAAGAGTTCAGTTTGTATTCCATTAATTCCTGGAGCCTTGTTCTCTGAAGCCAATGCCTTCAGTGCAGCTTGGACTTCTTCCTTCAGTACCAGTGAGTCTTGTTCATATGTTACCTCTTGAAATGGTTGACTATTGATCATTTCTTTTTGGTATATTGACTGTGTATTCCTTCCATCTTCTTTTAATGCTTTCTGTGTCATTCATTATTTTACCCATAGAATCCTTAAATATTGGAAGTCAAGGCTTGAATTTTTTGTTCAGCTCTTTGAGCTTGAGAAATGCTAAGTGTGTTCTTCCCTTTTAGTTTTCTAACTCCAGGCCTTGGCATGCTTCATGTTAATATTTGACTTTATCTTCTTGAGTTACATTTTGAAATTTTCTGTTCAATTCTCTTATCTCCTCATGTCTTCTATTTGCTTTAATATATCTACACTGGAGTGCAAATTTCAGAATCTCTTTTGACATTCATTTTAGTCTTTTCCTTCTTTCTTGTCTTTTTAATGACCTTTTGCTGTCTTCCTGCATGATGTTCTTGATGTCATTCCACAACTCTTCTGGGTTTTGGTCATTAGTGTCTAATTCATCAAATCTCTTCTTGAGATGATGTCTAAATTTAACAGTGGAGATTTAACAGAATCCAGAAGCTGCAAAGAATTTTATTTGACTGACTATAAAGATGAAATGGCAGATTGTAGAGGATCTCAAATAGGAATAATAAGTTTAGTTTTTATTATGAGTAGGCCATCTCTTGAGGTTTTTGAATAAATAGGTGGGGCCACAACCCTAGATAAACCTGGCTGAACTGTGTGTGGATTGGAGCAGCAGGCTAGGAAACAGATGGCGGGGAGCCAGGGGAAAGAGTTGCGTTAGTCCAGAAAAAGTCAACAAGAGCTTAAGTGAGGAATAGTAGTGCAGAAGTGGCAAGGAGAGGATGTTTATAGAAGAGCTTGCAAAGATAGAATCAAGATTTGACAGCTGGTTAAATAGGTAGTCAAGTGGAAAGAAGAGATTTTAGGTACTGAACTTTGGCAACTCAGAGGATTGCCAAGTATGTTTTACAGGAATAAAGAGCCCTGGAGGAGAAAGAGAGGAACTGGGGCATAGGGAATGCTGGCTTGGACACACTTAGGAGTTTCTAGCAGGTAGATTGAAATGTGGACCTAGATGTGAGGAATTGTGGCAGAGATTGTATTTCTTCCACCCTATTTTGTTCCAGCCGTGGTTTAAAGCAGAAACCCAGGTGTGTTTGCTGTCACAGGTTATTCATCAGCATGGTCTTGTATTTGTCAGCATTCCTTCCAGTCAACCATAAAAGGCCTCGCCTTAAGCTGAGCTTTTCATTATTTAAAAAATGTTAACTCTTACGGCTATTCTTAGCAAGTCATAACTGATTACATTGTACCTTGGGAGAATGCCAGGTGCGTGATACATGTTGAGTTGTTTAAGCCTAGGACAAGAGTTAACCCAACAGTCATTTCCGAAAGAGCACTCATTAGTTGATCATTTAATTGGCAGAGTTCATTGTTAGCATAGGCTTATTGTATATCTTATCAGTAGTTTTCAGGTAAATTTTTTTCTCCATTTTTAAAATTCAGTATGCTGGATAGTGTTTAAAAATCAGAGCCCAATTCTATATTCCCCTAAAAATTGTACCTATATTTAATCTTTCTGTTCAAAGTAATTATTATCACCCCCTATTTTTTTCTTCCTTTTGCTCAGTTGTAAGAATGAATGTGTAACCATCCAAAGTCCTCATTCTTGTTTATTCTCCACTTATAGGCCTGTAATCTAGGTGCACATAACCCAGAATGCACAGGGCTTTCAGCAATGTTAAGTGACACTCATGTTGACTTAAGGGAATGGTTGAGCCGGGAAATGAGGAACTGGGCTATAGTCTTATTTTCTAGTTGGGGAGGGAATCTTGCAGGGTCCAGAACACTGAATCTGTACCTAAAGGTTTTTCCTAACTGAGCTTTGTGTCTTTTAGTTAGCTCATATTCGTGTACTGCCAATTGGGATGTTCCTGCGTGCCCTGAGTATTGATGTATTTTTGTCAGTAGAGTTTGGTTACCATGGGTGAGCATACCTTTTGCTTCTAATCTATTTAATCCGTAGTGACAGTTTATTAAATTATCAGCCTTATTTCTTTAGGGAATAGAACAAAGGGTACCAAGACTCATTACCTCCTTTTCTTATTGATCCCCTTCACCCAGCAGCACACATACACAGTTGCTTTTCTCATTCTCACTCAACAATCAGTTACATGTATTCACAGGAAACAGAAATACGGTGAGATCGGTTTTTTCCCCTTTGTTTACCCACTCTTAGGAGCTGTCCTAGAAAGAAGAGCTGGAGCCTAGAGTGTCTTTCCAGGTTTATTGGTTAGAGCTGTGATTGAGTGTAGGAAATGAATGTTTGCTTTTATTCTAGTCTCTGTAAAGTGGTTCTTTCGTTAATCATTTAAAATACTTTTTCTTCATTGTAATGATCATCTTTTCACAAACTTCATGGTTTGATAATAGAGTTACTTTTATTGTGGAAAATGTGCAGAGATAGACTTTTGTATGTATTTCTTTGTAATATAAAATTGTTACCGAGAACTTAGAGTGAATAAGGCTATCATACTTGTGCTGGCCATGTTTCAAGTGAAAGTTAATCATTATCACATCTTCTAACATTTGTGTTATCCTTTAGATTTAAAAGGAAGTGGAATAAGAATATCATTTTTTTGTGTTTGTTTTTTTAGATTCAGAATATGAACAACATTATCTCCTTTCCTTTGGACAGTTTGCTAAAGGGAGACCTAAAAGGAGTCAAAGGGGTATGGTATTTTAAAATCAATACTATTGGGTGACAGTTTTTTTATATAATGTGGAATCACAGAAATACTGGCCTGGCATGGTAAGCAACCTATATTTTACTATTGCAACTGAGATGACAGGATGGCTTTTTGCTATCTCATTTTCCTTTGATTTGTAATCTTGGTCTGGTTTTCTGGCTGCTAAGTCACTAGTTTACAACCCTGGAAAAAAGGATCCTACATAGTAAGGGACACCTCTTATTTTCCTGGTGGGGAAAACATGCATGTGGAAGGCATGAACTATGTTCACTTTTCTGCCCTCAATGGATGTTTGTTGTTGAGGAGGTGTCTTGCTACTGTGAAGCACAGAAGTTGTGAACTCTTTCCCAGTAACAGGGTTAGAGTAGATAGATACGCTGAGCAGTACGTTGCTTTTGCATATCATTGGCACAAGCTGTAAAAGGGGGATGTTTGTGTCTGTGTTCTGAGGAGACCCAAGCTCTTCTGTGGGACCTGCACATGATTACTGTCTAGGGCTGAATCATACCTGGGCATGTCTGCATGCCCAGCCTGGCCAATCTTGGGGGATCTCTACAGAGGCTTCAGAGTCCCTTTGTAGAGTATAGTAGCAGAAATGTGTGCCCAAGGGATATGCTAAGACACTGAGGAACACTGTGGCCCTGAAGGGCATGTCAGCTGAATTAGCCAGAAAAAGCATGAGGAGAGGAAATTCTCCTTAGAGGGGAAAACATATGCAAATATATGGAAGCATGAATCAACACTGACACATCCGGGCTTTTAGTGTAACTTCAAGCAGTGAGTCTGGAGAGGTGCCAGTAGTAGGAAATGAGGCTTAGGAGTGGGGTAGGGCCAGTTCATGGAGAACCTTACATGCCAGACTTTGAAGTTTAGACTTGTCATAAAGACAGTGAAGAGCCAAAAGTAAATAGATAAATAAATAGAAAGAAAAGGGAAAAAAAGTATCTGTCTTCCAAAAGAGCTCTGTTGAATGGAATATAGTTAGGTGGGAACCACTGGATACAATTTTTCTGAGACTATGAGGTCTTAAGGACCCGACAAAGAGTGGAGTTGGGAAACCTCAGGAGGATGTAGATGACTTTTGTATTATTTTTGGGGTCCAAATCAGAATTAAAATTGTTGGGGGAGATTCATAAGTTAATATAAAAAGTCATTTTCTTTCTTTTAGAAAGATGCACTGAGATGTTTGTAGATTAAAATGAAATGTTATATATGTGTGTCTGAGTTTAACTTCAGAATAATCCGAGTGTAGAGGATAGGCTATAGATAAAATAAGATAAATAGTTGTTGTAATGGCATGTTAAGTACATTGTATGATTCTCTACTTTTGCAAACATTTGATATCTTGCATAATAAAATTTAAAGAAAAAAAAAATGCTACCAGTAGTCTAAAATCCTATGTTAAGTTCTTTATTGTTCATGGGCTCACATGAATAATTTTTTACAGATATTAATGTTCCTTTCAGGACTAGTCTAGGGATATGTATGCTTATCTGACATAGAAGTTAATGATTAGTCATGTTTAATTTATGCCTCTCTGTTTATAGGATCTGAAAAAACCGTTTGATAAAGCTTGGAAGGACTATGAAACAAAAATGTAAGTGCTTTCTCTTTAAAATACAGTATAGGTAATTTGAGATTGCCATTTTAAATCCAGCTTTTATTACTTAAAGGTATTGTCTAAATAAACATTTATCCATGAAAGAATTTATCTAGAACAATGTTGTTGTGGTTTATTATGATGCCAAATGCTTCCAAAGTTATATTAACTTCTTTAAACAACTTTCTTTTGTCCCTTTATAGAATGTTATTTTCAGGAAAGGTAAATTGAAAGGAAGTAAAGACTAATTTCTCTCACCATGTGTTTCTTTCCTTTTTGTCTTTAAAACACTTTCCCATTTTATCACCATTTATGACAGCATCACCGCTTTTTGGACTTTCTTCTTGGTGATTTGTGAAAAACATCTGCTTTTTGCTTTGTGTCTATGTTTCTCTGCAACATCAGCCCCCTTGGGTTTAGTTAGAGGAAAGAAAAATTGTTGGAATGCCATTCTCCTTCAGCTTTGTTTGATTGCTTCATCTGCCCCGGAAAAAGAACATAAAGAATGGCTTAGTTGATTCTTGAATGTGTTCCACAATTTCCACTGAAGACAAGGCTTCTACCAGTTGACTTCAAACAGTTTTAACATTTCCGCTCATAATTTCTATTCTTATAATGGAGATAATTGAGCTAGTTCTTGTAGGAGTAATGATTTCAATTACTTTAAATAGTTGAGAACTACAAAATATTTTAAATGCTTTGTGTTTACTTTGTAATCCCTGTACATAGGCTAATAATGTAAAGTTATATTAGTAGAAACAGAAACTTTCTTATGAAGCCATCTGGCAAAGTGAGGTGTTAAAGAAAAGTCATTTCAGTTGTAACTGCAAGTATTAAGTTTTGTGACTTTTTTTTTTTTTAACCATTTTTTTTTTTTATCATTTCAGTGGTGAAGTGTCACAAACCAAGTAGTGCCAAACCTTTGCTACTCCTTCCATTCATGGAATTTAAATTTTCATACCTGAAGTTGTGTGGACCCCTGAGTTCTAGAGTTTTCTTAATTGTACACATTTTTATATAAGCACAGATAATATTAAACTAGAATTCCTTGAAGGTCTGTCAGCCAAGAGGGGCTCCAAATCTACTATCTCTAGACCTTTGTGGTAGTGGTTGTGTTACACCGAATCAGTTCCAACTCATAATGATGCTGTATTAGGGGTTTTCAAGGCTGTAAATCTTTACAAGAGCAAACACCTCATCTTCCTACCACAGAGTAGCTAGTAGATTAAAACTGCTGACGTTGCGGTTTAGCAGCCCAACTTATAACCCACTGAGCTACCAGGGCTCTAGACCTTTACCATCCTTTAATTTTATAGGGAAAGGATCACCATTTCTACTTATAGATGGGAAACCATGACTTGTTGGTTTGAGAAGAGAATAATTGAGCTAGGCCTAGGAAATGGTTTCATGACTTCTAGTCAGTGGGTCTCACCACCACCCTAGCTAGATGCCTTAAAGGAAATGATTCTGTGCATTACTGGACCAAGGGCATAAAGAGGTTTCTAAAGAAGATTGCCTGTAATAGCCCTCTGGTTCTGAAAAGAATTAAAGAGGGAAGGAGATCAAATTCTGTGAAATTAAGATACACATAAATAGGGCATGGGAAGAATCTCTCACAAAAATCCCAGAATTTGTAAGGGGGAGGGAGTTAGTACTCTTTAAAAAAAAAAAAAAAAGCTTGAGTAATTCTAGGTTAAATAAAGGAAGTAATGTTGTGTCCATTAATGTGTGAGATGCATTTATCCCAAGAGGTGTTACATTATATAACAAATGCTTAACACATCTTTAAAATTTCTGGGCAGTAATTCCATACTAGATTATTTAGAGAACTCACCAGTGTCGGGACTGTGTCTTGGCCTTTTTGCGGTGGTGCCAGGGGGAATCTTGGAATTGTAGAATCATAGTCCCTCAGATCTCGCTGGCCCTCTATTTCCTCACATTTCCTCCAAGATGCATTTGCCCAAACCCCCACTAAACAGCCAATTGTTTATGTTCTGATATACTCACACTTTCAAACTGTTGAGTACCTACTCTTTGCCTAGCACTGTGCTCTAAAAGAAACAAAGAGTATAAACTACATTTCTTTCCTCTTCTTAAACACCCAATCCCATGATAGGAAACTTTCTGGAATCCAAAAATGATCATTGTTGAACAGCTTTTTAAGAGAATGCTGCTTTATATCTTTTCAGGCTTACCATGAAGTACTACAGAAAATATCTACTCACGTTTCTTCATGGCAGCTCTTTACAATTTGAGTGCTTTCTGTTGTTTTTGTTTAGTGATTTTTCCCTCCAAAACAAAAATTCACAATTACAAACCCTTATTATCTGATGCAATTTTATGGCTCCTTCTCATTCTGATCACTCTTCTATAGGTCCAAGTTGGTCAGTTTACACATGAATTTTACACATGTCGTTTTGTTGTACAAAGTGCAGAATGAGGTTTAAATGAAGAAAAGGCAATTTTCTTCTCCTAAAATCCTAGGTCAAGGCAGGCGAACTGCCATGGCTTCCATTAGTGTGGAGAAGGTGGAAATGAAGAAAGAGGAATAGGGGGAAAGTATGGGAAGAGACATATTAAGTAGTGAATGGTTATTGACCAAATGATTCCCTTAGGACCATCTAGGGGGTAGCCAGACTCATAAAATGTTATTGCTGAAAGAAATCTTGAAAGCATGCTTCCTCCTCTGACCCTGGGAACACTACTGGCCTAGAGTCTGGCACAAAGTGCAAATACTTAAGAAGTATTTGTTGAATAGTGTTGTTGTTGTTGTTGTTGTAAGGTGCTGTCAAGTCCATTCCAACTCACAGAAACTCTGCGCCAACAGAGTCCTGCCTGGTCCTGTGTCATCTTCACAATTGTTATGTTTGAGCCCATTGTTGCTGCCACTGTGTCAAATTCTCATTCAGTAGGTAGCAGAAAGGCCAATTTTTAAATGGCATTTTCCTTTCAAGTAGTTTAAGAGACTGTGCTGCCTGAAAATGCAGGGTAAGCATTTATCTCAGCAGGGTGGGCAATAGATGGCTTCTAAGTTGTCCAGTGTGGGATACTCTGCCAAGAGGCATCTTGATTTATCCTTGCTCTTTTCACGCTTAGAACCAAAATAGAAAAGGAGAAAAAGGAACATGCCAAGCTCCACGGGATGATTCGTACTGAAATAAGTGGGGCTGAAATTGCTGAAGAGATGGAAAAAGAGAGGCGGTTCTTCCAGCTACAGATGTGTGAGGTAAGATGCTGGGGAATCACAGGCTCTGGGAGTCCAGGTGGCGAGGCAATCTTCTGTCACCTACACATGAATTCTTGCTGGGAATGTAATAGGCTATATAAACATTAGTAAGTATTTGCTTCTGACTTTTACTAGCCACTTTAAAAAAAGAACAAAGTTTTTATTGGACTCCATTTGTCTCTCGTGTTTACATTTTAGTTTACTCGGGGAACCGTAGTCTTCTGGACACTGGGATTAGGTTAATCTAACAACAGCTTTTTATTAAAGATTGAGGAACAAAGTAAGCATAGTGTTCTTTCTGACCGCACATATGTAAACACACTCAAACTTGCCTCCTCTCACTGGGACATAACTAAAACCACTCACTTTTAGGAGGGATCTGGGTTCCCATTGGACCAATATAGTCATTGAGCTGGGATGAAAAGCCAGCTGGAAAAACCCCAGCCTGAGAGATGACAGTCCATGTAATTCTCTCTTTTTAACTATGTGAGATCATATCATGGGTAGGGCTGCTGCCTGTCTTTTTGAAGTGTTCCCAGCCAAATGTAACTTGCTCAGTTGTGGGGATGCCATCAAGGTCAAAAGGTCCAAGTGGCTTGGGCACTCCTTTCTATTCCTCTGCCTTTATTCCCAAGCCCTTCAGACATTCACAGAACATCATTCTGCTACAGGTACAGGAATGGAACCATATCAGAGAACATGCAAATCATGAAGGCCTCTGCTCTCAGCTCTCACCTACCTTACTCATGACTCCTCTTGTGAAGCTAGCTGAGAAAACAGCTTACGCTTCTGCCATAGGGCCACTCCTCTTGGCAAAGCCCAGTGAAGCACTTTTCCTTGATGGGAGCTGTGTTCCCTATTGGAGCAATCAATGAAAACTTGCTTTTTTAAATTTACAAAATACATGGGTATTGAAACTGGGTTCAGCCAGCTCTTGATTCACTCTAAAGCCATCAACAGCAAAGCTGATCCAGAAGGCAGTTCTTTTGGAATCTGTTTGTTTGTCTGTGATCTGCAGCAGGTGCTTAGCCTTTACACAGACACACATATATAAATACCTTAGGAATATATTTAAATGAGTGTTTAAGATGTAAACCTCTTAAGTGGCCAGAGGAAAATATGTTGCAGGGGATCAGGGATGGCAATGGAAAGTTTTAAACTCTGTTTTGTCAGATACTAGTATAACCACTCCAGCTTTGTTGGGGTTGCTATTTGCATAATGACTCTTTTTCATCCTTTTACGCTAATCGTATCTTTGAATGTAAAGTATGTCTTCTGTGGACAGCATGGAGTTGGATCATATGATTTTTAATGCAGTATGACTACCTGCCTTGTGATTAAATTGTTGAATCTATTCCTGTTTAATGTTGTTACTGATATACATTAGGTATTAGTTTCACATCTCCTGTTTTTACTTTTTGTTTTTATAAGCCTTCATGTCTTTTTTTGTTCCTCTATTCTACATGTATTTTGCATTGTGAATACAAGGGTAAATTGAAAAGCATTTCTATAAAATCATAGAAACCTTTATTAAAGAATCAAAATGTGAAACTGTTGTTTCTCAGTGTATCCTCCATCTAGGTCTATACACTTCTGAAGGTACTTTTTTCATCTTTCTAACCCTTCCCCAAAGAATTCTGTGCTCTTTGATTTACATCTTGTCAAAATGGCAGTTTTGACATCTTCTGGGGATTCAAATTGTGTTTCTTTTAAATGTTCTTTGAGTTTGCGTAATAAAAAGGAGTCTGAAGGGGCAAGATCAAGGCTGTTGTAGATGGAGAAGGTTTTCCAATGAAATTCTCACAGGACAGCCCTTGCTGACCTGGAAGAATGAGCAGGTGCAGTGTCGTGATGGAACACAATTCTTTGGCACAACTTTCCTAGCTTTGTTCTCACTAAAGTGCTTTTCAGTTTTCTTGGAACTTTGTCCTACACTAAGCTCTCATGATTATCCTATGTCCTCTGAGAAAATCTATCAAGATTACCCCTTTGGAAAACAAAACAATAAACCATAGCCATAGCCTTGGAGCTGCCTTGAATTTAACTGGCTCCGCAGATCCCCTTGGAAGCAACTGTTTTAATTGGACCTTCTTTTTTTATTTTTTGAAGACACCATAATAAGATTAAGATTAGTTTTATTGCTGAGAGAACTTGGCTGCAGCCACTTACTAATTATAGAGATACATATAAATATGTTTTGTTTGGAATAAATCCTTCCATGTATGAACTGGAACCCTATAGTAGTAGTGATTTTGTACTTAGCCTCATATTTAGAAAGTAAACTACACAGAAAAGTGTGTTTATAGATAGGAGAGTGGATGTTTTGATGCACACATTGCATTGTAGACAGTCATCATATATATTACCTGTTTGACCTATTTCACTTAGTGCTGGAGAAATCAACCGAGACAATATGAGATGGTTTTTATTTAAGCAGAGTTAAAATTAAGTATGTTGTTTTTGTTGTTGTTAAGTGCTATCGAGTAGGTTCCAATTCACAGCCACCCTATATAGGGTTTCTAAGGAGCTACTGGTGAGCTTAAACTGCCGACTTTGCCTTTCAAACCAACTTTGCAATCCTGCGCATTAACCCACAGTACCACACCAGGACTCCAAAATTAAGTATGTTGTTGTTAAGTGCCATTGAGTTGGTTCCGATCCATAACGATCCTGTAAAAGGTTTCTGAGGAGTGAATGGTGAACCACCAACTTTGTGGTTTAAACTGACTTTGCAGTCCAGCGCATTAACCTACAGCACCACACTTGTTGTTGTTGTTGTTATTGTTAAGTGCTGTGGAGTTGGTTCCGACTAATAGCGATCCTCTACAGGGTTTCCGAGGCTGTAAATCTTTATGTGAGCAGAACGCCTCATCTTTCTCCCGTGGAACCGCTGGTAGTTTCGAACTGCTGACCTTGCAGTTCACAGCCCGATTCGTAACCACTACGCTACAGCACCACACTAGAACTCCTAAATTAAGTATGGTGTTTGGCAAATAATGAAGTTGAAAAACGTGTTTGTGTATATACTTAAGTTGCACTCTTTTTGGCTAGTTAGAAAGAAATCTGTTTACCTAAACTTGGCAAGACTGTTTAAATGCTGGCAGATTTTGGAAATGCAATCAGCATGTTATTAGCAGAGCCTTAAAGTGAGATGTACTGAATTCCACACCCCCATCTCTGTTGTTGGTAGACACCTTGCACTGGTAAACACCTTGCACCTGGGTACTTTTACTTTTTGGGGTGTAGGTGGATGGATTGTGTGGTCTGGTGAAATAGCTTATTTTGGGGGAAATATCCTATAGATGATGCCTGTAAATAATATTCTTGAATGATTTTTGCACCAAATTCACAGGTGATAGTTGAGTCCCAATCTGTGCATATATCAACAAGGTCCCTGCCGCCACAGAGCTGGTTCATTAGAAGTCAGACAAGCACACAGATAATTACAGTGCATTAAGAGAAGTGGAAGTGGGCTTAACTAAGTCACTTGGAGTTTAATGGGCTTCCAGAGGAAGACACACTGATGTTGGATATTCTAGAAGGACGTATAAGTTGGCCAAGTAAACGTGAACACAAGGAGGAAAGAGCATTTGAAAAGCAATTACCTGAGAATATGTATAAAGGAGTTTTAAAAAGTTTCTGGAAGAATTGTTTAACTTTTTCTCTGTAAACTGAAGTTCTCGAGCTTTATAAATGCTTGCTATTGTGTAGTTGTTAAAATTTTTAGTTGCACAAGATCTGATCTAGCAGAATGACTTCCAGGCTTTTGTTTTAAAGCTGTGAAACCTTTTCTTCCAAATACATTTAAAAAGAAATTCGGTTAAGTTGGTAATACAGATCTTCTGTGAATGAATAAGATGTGACTGGCCTTGTCTTCCTTCTTTATTGATTATAAAAGTGATTGTGATTATTAGTTTCTGTTTCAGAATATTAGTCAATGTCCACCCCCCCCAAATCACCTTTTAACTGAACATCTTTTATACCTCCCAATGATTTGTATAAAAAGTATCATCCTTTACAGTGTTTTATAACTTGATTATTATCACTCACTAGTATGACATGGGCATCTTTCCATGACAGGAAGTCTCGGTTTTATTGGATACAATGGCTGCATAGTAGTTTAATTTTATCATTATTGTTGTTATGGGATGCCCTAGACTTTGATTCCATTTACATTCATTGCATTTGGGTTATGGCCATTGTTCACTTTTACCAACACAATTGCAATGAACTTTGCTGTTCATCTTTATAAACTTTTATAATTATTTCCTTAGAAGTAAGTTCCTGTAAGTAAATTTTCTGCTCCCATAATGGTTTACAGCCTTGGAAACCCTATACAGGTCAAACAGTGTGTTAGGTGCTGTTGAGTTGGTTCCCCCTCACAGTGACCCAGTCTTTTGCCATTCTCACAGTTGTGATGTTTGAGCCCATTGTTGCTGCCTCTGTATCAGGTTGTCTTGTTGGGGCCTTTCTCTTTTTTGCCGACCCTCCACTTTGCCAAACATGTTGTCCTTCTCCAGGGACAGGTCCTTCCTGATAACAAGTTCAAAATATGAGAGTCGAAGTCTCACCATCGTGGCTTCTAAGAAGCATTCTGGCTGCACTTCTCCCAACACAGATATGTTTGTTCTTGCATTTCCACGGTACTTTTAATATTCTTCTCCAACACCATAATTCAAGTGTATTGATTCCTCTCCAGTCTTCCTTATTCATTGTCCAGTCTTCCTTATTCATTGATCTTTATCAGTAAATATTTTAAGTCCTCTTCTCTTTCAGCAAGCAATTTTATATCATCCACATATCTTGGGTAATGTGTCTTCTTCCAATCCTCATGCCACATTCTTTGTTTTATAAGCCAGCTTCTCGGATTATTTGCTCAGCATACAGATTGGATTGTTGTTGTTAAATTCTGTCGAGTTGGTTCTGACTCATAGCGACCCTGTATAGAATTTCCGAGGAGTGGCTGGTGAATTTGAACTGCCAACTTTTCAGTTCCAGCGACCTTTCTGTCCTGTGCTTATCTTATAGTGCCACAGCAGGATTCCACAGATTGAATAAGTATGGTGCACACCTTTCCTGATTTAAACCATTCCATGTTCCTTTTTCTGTCCTACCTACTGCCTTTTGGTCTGTGTACAGGTTTCTCATGAGCACAATTAAGTCTCTGAAATACCCATTTGTCACAATATTATCCATAGTTTGTCATGATCTACCCAGTTGAATGCCTTTACATAGTCAATAAAGCATAAGTAAACATCTTGTTGATATTTTCTTCTTTCGGTCAAGATCCCATCTGACATCAGCAATGATATCCCTAATTCCACATTTTCTTCTGAATCTGACATGAATTTCTGGCAGTTCTCTCTTCTGGCATTTCTAATGTTGCAACCATTTAAAAAATTATTTTCAGCAAAATTTTACTTGCATGTGATATTAATGATATTGTTTGATGATGTCTGTATTCTGTTCGGTCCCCTCTCTTTGGAATGGGCATGAATATGATCCAATAACTTGGCCAGGTTAGCTGGCCAACCGAAAGCCAAAAACCAAATGCCTGGCCATTGTGTTGGTTTTAGACTCTATAGGATGGAAGGTTTTCTAGGAAACTGGTTTATAGGCTATAATCTTTACAGCAGTATACTGTCGCTTCTTTCTCTGGCAGAGCGGCTGGTGAGTTCAAACAACTGACCTTTTGGTTAGCAGTTTAGTGGCCGAGTCCTTCTTTAACCACCAGTGCTTTGAAAAGGTGTACACATTTTAAATTTTAACATCTAATAACCAGCAGTGAATAAGTAATCAAAAAGGAGGCGGTTACAGGCAGAAAAAAACTTTAGGGTTAACAGTTTCAGAGCAGTTTTCAACAAACCTGGGTGGTCACTTGTTTGTTTTACAGATGAGAAGCCCGTGGAGCTCACCATGTCCAGAGTGTTTGGTCAGTCAGTTTTAGAGGTGTTGTCTGGTTTTTTGATAGGGTGTTCTCCTATCAAATTTATGGAGGCCCTTCTCTATAAATTGTTGTTGTTGTTGTTAAGTGCCATCAAGTTGGTTCCAACTTATAACCACCCTGTGTAGAGTTATCAGGAGTCCTGACCTGGTGCTGTAGGATAAAGCATTAAACCACAAGGTCCATATGAACCACAAGGTTGATGGTTCAAACTCACCAGCTGCTCCTTGGAAACCCTGTACAGGGTTGCTATGAGTCAGAATCAACTCAATGACACTTAACAACAGTGTAGCATTCCCAAGGAGTGATCCACCCACCTTGTGGTTAGCAAGCAGTCCAGTACTTATCCTACAGTGCCATAGCAGGACACCTATAAATCTTCAGGAAAGAACAAATACCTTTACAAATGCTAGATTCCCCAAGACCTCCTGCTGTCTTAGTTAATGAATTCTCCAAGTAAAAATAGCTTTAATTCATTCCAATTTATGATTCCATTTTATCACCATTTTTTGTTTTTGAGGGTTTTTTTGTTTGTTTGTCTGTTTGTTTGTTTTTACATGTAGGGAGATTATGAATTTAAATATCTTGGGATCAGAGACATGGTGACAGGGTCTCAACCACAAAGAATTATCAGTATTCTAGACCTGTCTAAAGACAGGAAACTGGGACAGAAGTGTGTGAACAGGGTTATTCAACATAGTTAGAAATCCCATTCATTCTGATTCTTCTATGCAAATAGAATAAAATTTTGGCCTAGTAGGTTGAGTTAAAATGTCTTATTACTGGTAGTTCTGGGCCCCTAACCATTTAAGAACCTGGCATCAGATAATTCATATAGCACCAAATATAAGAAACTCTTAGCTATAGCATTCAAAAAGGTTTATTAAGATTCTCCCATGAGTTCTATCAATTTTAAAAGATGTCAGAGAAGTAGAAGAAATCATCACTGTTTTCAGACGCTCATATTCTACTCATTTCTATGACATTTCCTTTTTTTTTTTCTCTTTAACAGTATCTGCTGAAGGTCAATGAAATTAAGATAAAAAAAGGAGTGGATTTGCTTCAAAATCTGATCAAATATTTTCATGCCCAATGCAAGTAAGTTTTCTTTCTTTCTCGTGATCTTATTTTCAATGTCTTTCTCCTTGTGGAAATTTCTAATATAGCTATAGCATTTTATTAAGGAAATAAACACACTTAAAAATGTATAATAACAGGAATGAACTTCAAATATACACTATGTCATGGATGAACCTTGAAAGTAGTATGATATATGAAAGGAGCTAGGCATAAAGGAGCATACACTATGTAATTTCATGTCTAGACAAGTCTCAGAATAGGCAAATCCATAGGGACTGAAAATAGATCAGTGGTTGCCAGGGGATGCAGAAAGGAGACAATAGGGAGTGACTGCTAAAATGTACAAGGGTTTCTTTTTGGGGTGATGAAAGTATTCTGGAATTAGTGATAATGGTTGCACAATATGTAAATATACTAAAATTCACTGATTTGTACATTTTAAAAGGATGAATTTTATGACATGAGAATAATATTCTCAATTTTAAAATAAGCAGGTATATATTAAAAAAATCTGTAGCCATTATTGTCTTCATTTCTTAGTGTTGCTGCAACAGAAATACTATAAGTGGATGGTTTTCAAGAACGGAGATTTAGTTTCTCACAGTTGGGAAGGCTAGAAATCCCAATGTAACTCTAGGGAAGGTTCTATGTCAGCTCTAGAGGAAGAGGCTTGTCTCAGCTTCTGTAGCTCCATTGTGCCTTAGGTCCTTGATGAGCTCCACATGGCACCTGTCTTCCCCCCTTTGTGCTGGCTTCTCTGTGTCTAATCTTCTCTTTATTTCTTAAAAGTCATTAATTAGGCTTAAAAACACACCTTACATTGCTATGGCACATTAACATAACAAAGAAAAACCTATTCCTAAATGGGATTGCATCCGCAGGTGGTGGTGTTGTGTGCCATCTAATCAGTTCAGAATAATTCTAACCTGTATAGGGTTTCCAAAGCTTCTAAGTCTTTGCAGAAGGAGAAAACGTCACCTTTCTTCTCTAGAGCAGCTGATGGGCTTGATCTACAGACCTTGTGGGTTGCTTTTCCTACAGAGCCACACCACTGGAACGTTGTTGAGTGTCTGCAGGTTGGTTCTAACTCACAATAACCCTTTTACAGCACAGGTGGGGAACGTCTGGCCTGAGGATTGTATAACGCCCATGAAATCCTTTGGTCTGCCCCCAGCAAGGCAACCACAGTTCCAGCCATCACATTGGTGGTAGTGGTGGTGGTTATGTGCCGTGAAGTCGGTTCCAACTCATAACGACCCTGTCTGGGGTTTCCGAGGCTGTGAATCTTTATGGAAGCAGAAAGCCTCATCTTTCTCCCGCAGCGTGACTGGCAGTTTTGCACTGTGGACCTTGAGGTTACTAGCAGCTTAGTTTGTAATCCACTATTCTACTAGAGATCCTTAGCCATCATATTGTTATTGTTGTTAAGTGCCGTTGAATTGACTCCAACTCATAGCGATCCTATATAGGGTTTCCAGGGAGCAGCTGATGGGTTTGATCTGCTGACCTTGTGGTTTGCAGTCCAGTTCTTATCCTACAGCACCATACCAACCATTATATTGCTGTTTTTATGTGCTATTGAGTCGTACCGACTCACAGTGACCCTGTGCACAACAGAGCAAAACACTGCCCGGTCCTGGACCAACCTCCCAATCATTGCTACATTTGAGTCCATTGATGCTGCCACTGTGTCATTCCATCTTACTGAGAGTCTTCCTTTTTTCTTCAACCCTCCACTTTACCAAGCATGATATCCTTCTCTAGGGACTTGTCCCTCCTGACAATATGTCCAACGTATGAAAGACAAAGTCTGGCCATCCTGGCCTCCAAGAAGCACTCTGACTGTACTTCTTCCAACATAGATGATCTATTCTTTTGACAGTTCATGGTACTTTGAATATTCTCCTCCAACACCATAATTCAATTGCATCAATTCTTCAATGGTCTTCCTTATTCACTATCCAACTTTTGCATGCATATGAGGTTATTGAAGATACCATGACATGGGGTCAGATGCACCCTAGTCCTCAAACTGACATCTTTGCTCTTCAACACTTTAAAGAAGTCTTGTGCAGCAGATTTGCCAAGTACAATACATCATTTGATTTCTTGGCTGCTGCTTCCATGAGTGTTGATGGTTGATCCAAACAAATTGAAAACTTTGACAACTTTAGGTTTTTCTCCATTTATGTGGCTATTGTTTGTTAGACCTGTGAGGATTTTTGTTTTCTTTACATTGAGGTGCAATCCATAATGAAAGTCGTGGTCTTTAATCTTCATCAATAAGTGTTTTAAGTATTCTTCACTTTTAGCTAGCAAGGTTGTATCATCTGTTGGTATTGTAGGTTGTTAGTGAGTCTGCCTCCAATCCTGATGCCACGTTTTTCTTCATATAATGCAGCTTCTCAAATTATTTGTACAGCATACAGATTGAATAAGTATGATGAAAGCATGCAACCCTGACGCACACCTTTCCTGATTTGAAACTGTTCAGTGTTCTCTTGTTCTGGTCGCACAACTGCCTCTTGGTCTATATACAGTTTCCTCATGAGCATAATGAAGTGTTCTGGAATACTCATACCACGCAATATTGTCCATACTTGTCATGAGCCACACAGTAGAAAACCTATGTGTGGTCAATAAAGCACAATAAACATATTTCTGGTATTCTCTGCTGTCAGCCAATGTCTGTCTGACGTCAGCAATGATATCCCTCGTTCCATGTCCTCTTCTGAACTTGGCTTGAACCTCTGGAAGTTCTCTGTCAGTGTATGATTACAGTCTGTTTTTGTATTATCTTTAGTAAAACTTTACTTGCATGGGATATCAAAGATATTGTCCGATAATTTCTATATTCTTTGGAATGGGCACAAATATAGGTCTCTTCCAGTCAGTTGGCCAGGTAGTATCTTCCAAATTTCTTGGCATGGATGAGTGAGTGCCTCCAGTGCCGTATCACTTTATTGAAAGATTTCAACTTGTATTCCGTCAATTCCTGGTGCCTTATTCTTTGCCAATGACTTCAGTGCACTTTGGACTTCTAACTTCGGTATCATCGGCTCTAGATGATATGCTACCTCTTGAGATGGTTTAACATCGACCATTTCTTTTTGGTACAATGACTCTGTGCATTGCTTCCATCTTCTTTTAATGCTATCTTTATCATTCAGTATTTTGCCCATAGAATCCTTCAGTACCGCAAGTCAAGGTTTGAATTTTTTCTTCATTTTCTTCAGCTTGAGGAATGTTGAACATGTTCTTTCCTTTTGGCTTTCTAACTCCAGGTCTTTATACACTTTGTTTTAATATTTGACTTTGTCTTCTTGATCTGACCTTCAAAATTTTCTGTTGAGCTCTTGTACCTCTTTACTTCTTCCAACATTTACTTCTTCCATTTGCATCTCTATACTGGAGAGCAAGTTTCATAGTCTCTTCTGACATCTGGTTTTGGTCTTTATCTTCTCATCTTCTCAGTGACCTTTTGCTTTCTTCCTATATGATGTTCTTCATGTCATTCCACAACTCTTTCTTCTTGGGTCTTTAGTGTCTAATGCATCATATCTGTTATTTAGGTGATCTCTAAATTCAGGTGGAATATATTCAAGGTGATATTTTGGCTCTCGTGGACTTGTTTTCATTTTCTTCAGCTTCAGCATATGAATAATTAATGGTCTTTTCCAGAGTCTGCCCTTGGCCTTGTTTTGACTGATGATAATGGAGCTTTTCCACCATCTCTTTCCACAGATGTAGTCAATTTGATTTTTGTGTATTCCATCTGGTAAGGTCCCCGTGTATAGTCATCTTTTATGTTGTTTATACCATCACATTAGGGTGAATTAATTAGGGGTGACCAAATATTGCAGGCCAGTTCTTAAGTTGATAATTTTGTGTGGCCTGCAGATAACATTACAGATTTGGGCAGAAAAAAGATTCCTAACCCCTGCTGTATAGGCTTTCTGAAAAACAGTTGCTAGGTTTGAACCCCTGACCTTGTGGCTAGCAGTCCACTGCTTATCATACAGCACCATACCATGACTTCACATGCATCTATGTTCTTGTTGTCAAGTGCCATCAAGTCAGTTCCAACTCATAGCAACCCTGTGTAAGGTTTCAAGAGCAGTTGATAAGTTTGAACCACCATCCTTGTGGTTCAGTGCATTATCCTGCTGTGCATAGGTATTGTTGTTGTTGTTGTTGTATACCGTGGAGTCGGTTCCGACTCTTAGTGACCCTGCACAGGGTTTCCGAGGCTATAAATCTTTATGGGAACAGAAGGCCTCATCTTTCTCCCGCGGAACCACTGGTAGTTTCGAACTGCTGACCTTGAGATTGGCAGCCCGACTCTTAACCACTATGCTACCAGAGTTCCTTAGGTTATAGGGGTTAGGATTTCTCTAGGCATGGAGGATAGGGGCAGCACACAGTTAACACAGAAGATGATAGGTTCAAAAAATTTTTATGGAAAAATTCCATTATATTTTCATTTTGTTTTCCACAGACTTTTAAAAGATCCTTTGTATATCTATTTTTGTTCCTTTATTTATTTATTGAAGAGGCATATACTTGTGTGATCTAACACATGATAGATTCTCAAATGCTTGCTGTTTGTTAACAGAGAGATAAGATGCAGTGTATTACACTAAGGAAATACTTTTTGATGTTATTAGTCCTATAAAGCAAATGATAGTAATAAGTAAAGGAGCCTGTACTCATATGTAGAAGAGAACCAGAAACTTAACTGTTCAAGATTCAGTCTTGCCATGTATATTGTTTCTCATGTTGGGTACCAAATCATTTCTGATACATACCCAAGCCATGTGACAGAACTGCTCTATGGGTTCAAACTGCCAACCTTTCGGTTAGCTGCTGAGCATTTAACCGTTGTACCACCAGGGCTCCACCTTATGTATTTGTTGTGCCATTGAGTCAATTAGAACTCACAACAACCCTATGCTGGTGTTAAGTGGCCTCAAGTCAATTCCGACTCATAGGGACCCTGTACAGGGTTTATAAGGAGT